TGCTTGGTCTCGTGAACAGGAGAGGCTCGCGTGTCGTGTGTCGATAGTCGGAGCAAGCTCTCTTCGAGTTAGCAAGGTGTTATGCCTGGTCTCGTGAATAGGAGAAGCTCGCGTTTCGTTTGTCGATAGTCGGAGTGGTTCTCTTCGAGTTGGCAGAGTGTTCTTCTTCCGGTTCGTTCGTCGAAGGAAGGTTTATTTATCTGCTTTATTCACTATTTGTTGTAAGTTGTGAAACATCTTTTTAGTGGAATTGTTAATCACTTTTTATAGTGATTAACGACTGGACGTAGATTCTGTTGAATCGAACTAGTATAAAAATTACTCGTGTGATTGAGTTGATTTGCTTTGATGACTATTTTTCTCATTACTCTCTCTACCGAACTCCAATTGAGTTGATTCTTGATTTGTTGGAAACTAGACTCAAATATCTTTAATTTGACTACTCATACGACTATTTTGGACTTCGGGAATGGTCTCAAATAAATTTGGGAAAAATCACAAAAGTTCATTTTTAGCCTTTGCGTGTTATACCCAAAAACTCATAAAACTTACAACCAAAAAGAAAAGTACATGCCTCAGCATGTTAACTTTAATCCCAACACGCAAGGAAGAAAGCATGCAACAATATTATATTGTTACCTTTTGCCCATGATACACTATGTTATATCCCAAGTTAAACCCCTTACCTCAATTCCAAGCTAGCTTCCAAAGGCTCTTAGGTTTCCTTTCCTCACTAGACAACAAGCTTCCACTCCTCTTGGTCTCCTACAAGTGATGTCCAAAAACTCCAAGGCTAGGGTGGTTCTTCCTTTCTCTCCCAATTTGGTTGCTCTCCAAAATCTCGTTTCCACTCTCCAAGCTTTAACCTCCCCCAAGGTCACTTTCAAGCCTCCTAAGTCTAGAAAACATGTACCCACCCAAGCAAGTGGAACACAATATGTGCCCACCCAAGCAAAGTGGAAAACAAAAAAAAAAAGGAAATTCTTGGAATCAAATAATGGAAGCATTAACCTAAGTGTTTCCCTCAACATCAATAATATAACATTCCCCTTCTCTTTCATCGTTTTTGCATAAAAAGCAAAGTGAAATAAGGCTTTGGAAAGCCATTCACGTTGCACACCAACTCTTCATGGCCCAACCATATTTAATTTCCTCTTTCTTACTTCAATGTGGGACGACATTCCAAGGTGGAAATTAAAAAGAACTAGGAGCATTTTTGAACTTAAGAGGTTTCGAACTTAAGACCAAGAACACACACCTTCCATGCACACTCACATGAACCATTACACCAAGCTCCATCCACTTATATATGAGCACAAATAACTATACTTAAACACTTTTTCAAAGTTTTTTTGAAAATTAATATGAAACCAATATTGATTTAATTTTCTTCCCTTCCTTAAATATTTCTCAACATTGATTCTCATCACAATTTATTATTTAATACCACCAAATAAACTACTTAAGGTAAGAAATCATTTTATTTATACGGGTCTTACACCATGAATCATGTCGCGTCGTCACCATCATGTCGCGTCGTCACCACCATGCCGGAAATCGCACAACAAGGTTCGAACCTACCCTCCATCATCAATCTCGCACAACCTAAATCACCACCAAGAACAATACGCTCCTTCATCTTGTGGTACTGGGTGGGGTCGGTCTTCAACCTATCTCTGATGATGGTAAGCACGATCTGGAACTCGGCATTGTCACTGGAAGCGGGGTCGCGGAACGCATCGATTTTCTCATAGAGCTCCTCGGCATTGACACCCTCATGGATGAGGAGGGTGGCGACACCACCATCGTCGATGATCAGGTTAGGACCCCCCGTCGGGGCCCCAATCAAGGTGTTGTCGCAGGCGATGGCAGCGGCGGCGTGGTCCTGGGTGGAGAAGATGTTGCAGGAGCACCAGCGAACCTCGATGCCCTGTGCCCAAACTCAATTTTTCCCCAAATTCAAAAACTCAATCTATAAAATCCACCTCAACCTTTCATTGATTAACACGTCATCACGCAGACAACTTAAAATTGACATGTTACCAATTTATACTGCCATATCATCAATTTATTAACACCGTTAGTGTTTTTTAACGGAAGGGATAACGTTGACGCAAAATTTACTAAGTTAGGACCAAGTAAACACTTTTTTAAAACCCCCTATAAGGCTATACCTTAAGGAAATAAGATGGCTCGCGACCCTACTCCACATAGTAGGGATACTAGACATTCAGTTAGGAGTCTTTGCACTCAATGCGGTCTGGCTCATATAGATGTCATGGTTGAAAGGGTCCTATGACTGTAGTATGGGTTACTACCTGAACAGACATGCGCCGACTGTAGTGTACTCAATAGTATAAGGTGTGACCTTAGTCGTTATATGATACGGTTAATAAAAGTCTTCTCTTATTCCTGATTATGTGAACTAACTTAATATCATGAGAAGGACCTTTATTACTAAGATTCATATGCTGAAGAAGCATGATTTCTTAGATTTTGAAAAGGAACAAATTGACACAACCGAGCACAACTAGGGACAAAAGAGACTATTAAGCCTTAATATAATTACCGCGTTTGTCATGGGTTGAGAACGGGAATTGAACTCTATTAGATCGAATTTCCCGTTGTTCCTCAATAGCTCAGTGGTAGAGCGGTCGGCTGTTAACTGACTGGTCGTAGGTTCGAATCCTACTTGGGGAGATTGAATGGATTCAGAAATCTGTAATTCGGAATGAAAGGGTTTGCTTTGACAGTTAAGAAGAGTAGATAACTTGTTTCCATTGTATTCTATCTCATAGTATCCCATTCTATTCTGCGATATTTGAGAATCGTCGTCTATACCCCCAATTCAGCCAAACAGTTATCATTTAAATAATTATTTTTTTTGTAATAAACTTTTATAGTTATATGTGTTTGTGAGAGTTCAAGAAAGTAGAAAAGTTTAAAGAAATGTGCTTAATAAAAACTAGGACACTTGTTAAAATTAGTACAATTCAATTTAAAATTAGTATATTTAATAATTCAGTTTAGTTTATATTGTAATTTAGTACAATTTAGTATAATTCAATTCAGTTTAATAATACAAAAAACAGTTAAATTCAGTTTAATTTAGACAAATTAATTTTTAATTCTGTTAGAAATATTAAATCTTTTATCTTTCAGTTTATCTTTCAGTTAGTTTGTTAATATTTATTATTTGTATTTTGGGCTTAGCCCATATTTTTTCTATTATAAATAGAGAACCCTATGTGTATTTAACACAAGGGAGATTAATCCCATATACAATTTTCTCTATGTTTAACATGGTATCAGAGCAAGTTTTCTGATCTCTTCCGGTGGTCTTTATTGTCTGTCGGCGGCCGACCGTCATGGTCGCCGGCAGCCCCTAAAAATATCCAGAATCAGAGACAAGTCTCCTAGAAACCACTGCCTCCTCTGAATGACCGGACCTCCCTCTCTAAGCAGCCATTGCTGCCATCGAAATCTGTCTTCTTCTCGTAGCATGTTTTCGTATCTTCGAACCTCCTTCTTCTTTCTGCGTAATTTGTAGTAGAGGGTTTTGCCTCTGTAGTAGAGGGTTTCGCCTCTCCTTCATCCACTTCTGAAGTTGAAGTGTGTATTGCCTCCTTCTCCGCTGCTCTCCTTCATCCACTTCTGAAGTTGAAGTGTGTATTGCCTCCTTCTCCACTACTATCCTTCATCCACTTCTGAAGTTGAAGTGTTTATTGTCTCCTTCTCTGCTGCTCTCCTTCGTACATTTTTGAAGTTGAAAACCTAGTTTAGTTATTTCAAGCTTGGTTCATACAATTTGTATGCTCCAGCTTGAGGGGGAGTGTTAGAAATATTAAATCTTTTATCTTTCAGTTTATCTTTCAGTTAGTTTGTTAATATTTATTATTTGTATTTTGAGCTTAGCCCATATTTTTTCTATTATAAATAAAGAACCCTATGTATGTTTAACACAAGGGAGATTAATCCCATATACAATTTTCTCTATGTTTAACAAATTCAATATGGATTTTAGTACTGTCCTATAATTCTATTTGTCCACCCCTAGTTGCAATCATGAATGGCTAACGAGGAGTTAGACTTTAACTGCCTTGAAATGTGATGGGAAACAACCATAGATTGAGAAGCAAAAATGATTAAAGTTCTTAAAAAAAATCGGACCTTTGAAAAAAATTAATTAGAGTTTAATTATAATGTATCCAATTACATTAAAAAATAATTAAAAATTAACAATCAACACTAATTGAAAGGAACATTAACATTTAATAATTTGTCACATATTTTAGAAACTAAGCACCAATTGAATGAAATAAACATTATGCCGTTAACATTTTAACATCATCAATAAAAAAACAAATTAAACCATTTTTATAAAAAAAATAACATTTTAAACATCTCAAAAATAAAAAGACCATTTTAAACAAAAACAACTAAGAAAACTAAGTATTAAGGCTTTTAAAAACTATTACAAGTGGTTTACAACAAAAAATGATCTATGTACTAGTAATGAAAAACGAAATTGAAGATAACAAAATTAGAAAACATCTCTATAAGCAAAATGCAAATAACAAAAATAAAAGTAATAATTAAGTAAAATAACAAGAAAACAAATGAAATATATGTATTATTAATGAAAGCATTGAAACTATTAATTCAGAGTAACTTTGCACACATCATTCTTCAAAACAAGTCATAACAAACTTGTGTACTAGGCACACAAGCTCAGATTCAAATATAAATGATGAAATTTTAAGAACTTTTACTGGCTAATTTATTAAATCGATACAAAATTTAAGCATACACACTAATGCCCTAATGAAAAACGCATCTTAAGGTATTCGTTTCCAAGACAATATATACTCTCATGCGCAAATTATTGAATCCTCTGTTTAACAATAATAAAAAACTCATCTTCCAACTTTAGTTCAGAATAACAAACACACGTTGTAGTGAAAATATATGGTGTTAATTTAGGGAAACATTTATATCTTGGTTTAAAAACAATTCCATAACTTTAAACCCAAATGAGAAGTAATTAAATATACTGGGAAACAGGAGAAGAGTCTGCATTGCTTAAGAAAACCTAATAGATTTCAAAATTCAAGGCGTACAACATAATCTAATAAACTCATAAAACTGGAAAACAAAGCTCACATCCCAGTAAATGCCTTCTTAGCACCGCTCGAAGATCCAGCAGGGATCACTTTCAATACATTGAACCTCACTGTTTTAGAGAGAGGCCTGCATTAATGGTAGTAAACATCAGACGGATATCGAGACCAAGACAAACAAAAAGAATAACTTGAATAAAATCTCACCTGCATTGACCAATAATGACATGATCTCCTTCCTTCACACGAAAACAAGGTGATATGTGAGCAGGAATATTTGAGTGCCTCTTCTCGTACCTACACAGAATAGAAGTCCGATTATGTTTCTTCAAACATAAATACAAAATCAATGCACAAAATGAAGGCATGGCATCGTAAATACCTCTGGTACTTCTTTATGAAATGGAGATAATTCCTCCTGACAATGATTGTCCTGTTCATCTTAGCACTGTGACATGTTCCAGCCAGGATACGGCCACGGACGGAGACATTGCCAGTGAAGGGGCACTTCTTGTCAATATAAGTTCCTGTACTTAAAATTAAGAACAAATTATAAATCAAATGGGTTGGAAAAGTATAAATTACCTATTTACAGAAAAGAAATAACTATGGCTTTTCACGTGAAATAACCCAAGTACATGAAGATAAAGACATGAAATGAGAAATATAGCCTCACAAAATTTTCGGTTATTATATAGATAAACAAATGTATATTATTCTGAGTCGTATACAAAATCTATTTCAAGCCATGCTAACATTCTACCAAACAAGAATATATACAATTTTTAAGGGAGAAAACATAGTTACAGGAATCAACACTATCATAAAAAAGTTCAGAGCAAAAACTATCAGAGTAAAAATACCATTCCCAGATATCGTCAATAGACACAAACTAAAAACAAATGGCTTGTTTGGGAATGAATTCTTTTGAAGTGAACAAGACCAATCAAAAGAAAGAGGGCTTCATGAAGAATACGAATTTTAACCTAATTCACAAACACTCCACAGCAGAGCATTTAACTAGTGTAATAATTAAAAAAAAACACGGCCAAACAATAAACTGTAGATTAACATCTGAGAGGACAAATGTTACTGTTCGAATGGTATGAAGAGATACCTTCGATGGCTTCCCTGGGAGTCTTAAATCCAAGTCCAATGGATTTCCAAAAGCGGTTTCCACCTTTCCCTGGTCTCTTCCCCTTCCCAGTTTTCTTCGAGCTGCGATAGCGAGAAAAACAAAACAAAAACGATTCAGCGTCAAAATCACAGTGTAAGTAAGCAACAAAGTTAAACGTTCCTCCAAGTTTTCAACATACCTAAGGAACACTTTTGGTTGCTTCAAAAAAGCCTTCTCGGTCTGCAACACACAATTTAAACAAAATCAACACAAGATTCACACAAAACATAAGAAGAATTGATAAAACAACATGGAAAAATGGAGAGATGAAGAATACTTGTTCAGCCATGACGAAAGGACTTGACGGCAGAAGCTACAGAGGAGAGTGATGGCGTCGCAAAAACCCTAAATAACTTCTCTCACTGGGATTCCAGGGAAAACGCTACTTGTGGTGAGATTTCTTGTTCTGGGCTGTTTTAGTGGGCTATGAATTAGCTTGGCCCAAACAATACTCATCCTAAATTTTTAAAATTATTTATTGATAATTACTTTTGTTGAAATTTCTCGTTCTGGACTTTTTGTCACATAATATTTATCCTAAATGTCTAAGAATATTATCTATATTATTAACAAAAGAAAATTATGAATTACCTTTTCTATGCACAGATTTTTACTCCATTACCCTTTTAAATCTTGTAATTTTTCTAAACTCAATCAGTTATTCACAATAAAAAAAATTATCTAGAATAAAATTATAAAAACAATTAATAAAAATCATTTCTTTTTATATTTTTTTATGGATATATTTTTATAAAACTTAATTATCCATTTCAAAATTATGTTATCCTTTTATTTTAATACGATAGTATTTATGTTTTTAATATTTCAAATCTCAATATTTTCTTTTTATATAATTTTACTTACAATAATAAAAATTATTTTCAAAAAGAATCTCCATTTATCATCTATAAACATTAAAAATGGTTAATACTAAAATCTGACAAATATAAAATAGATTTAGACGTATTCATATTTGTTTGAAAATATTAATTAGGTCTTTAAATGTTAATGGTTCTTAATTGAGTTTTTAATTTTTAAAATGTGATATAATTTGATTATTTTGTGAGCAATATACCATTGATATTATGTGTGTTTTTTTCTCAATCTTTCTTTAAATAAATTATTACATGTGAGATGAGAGGTCCTGGAGAATAATATGTTTCATAACGTATTATGGTTATAATAAATGTTAGGTCAAAATTCTTAGCTAAAATTTAACAAAAATATATAAAGTTCTTTAGACTTTTTTTATAAAGAAAAGTAGTACTGTTAAAATGGATTATTCGTTGAGGTGTTGCTCCCTCCACCACCTCAAGTGCTCCTACACCTCTCTATTGTTTTCTTTTATTTCAAAAATACCCTACACCACCCCACTATATTCAATCATCTTTCTCTTTCTCTCTTCATATTAATGGAACATTCACATAGCTCACATTTAAACTTGTGATATATTGCAAAATTTTATTTACATTTTCCCTTAAATAAATTTGATTCAATCTTATTTTCACTGTTCAATATTTTTTTTTCTTCAAATTACTCAATAAATGGTAAAATTTTGTCCTAATTTCTAGAAAAATGTTTATATATATGTGTGTTTTTTTTACATTTAATATCTATAATTTTTAACATTATATTATGTTTTAACTTACCAACATGTTTGACTCAAATAACTTGAATAAAGTATTTAATTTTGTTAGATAAATAATATAAAAGTATTATTAAATACTTAAAATATAAAAGAAAAGTTATTTGTTAAAGATTTGGAATTTATTTAGTTATTTCGTCATTATAAAGTTAATATATAATAATAATAATATATTATTTACTATTAATATTATTATGTTTATTATTTTGTATTTGCATCTATCTTTTAAATTTATAAAATGAAAATGGTAGAAGCACTAATATTAAAGTTTCTTCTGAATTTTATATTTTGCAATATATCACAAGTTTAAATATAAGCCATATGAATGCTCCATTAATGCAGAGAGAGAAAGAGAAAGATTGTTGAGGATAATGGGGAGGTGTAGGATATTTTTGGAATAAAAGAAAATAGTGGGGAGGAGTAGAGTATTTTTGGAATAAAAGAAAATAGTGGGGAGGTGGAGAAGTAATTGGGGCGATGGAGGGAGCAACACCCTTCGATTGAATTCGATGTGGCCCATCACGGGTTGACCACTTAGTGAACCAACCCAACCCAGCTCATTTCTTAATGAGCCTAAAAAATTTCAATCCCGACCTGATCCATTACAAGTTAGTATGGGTTAAATAGGTTGGCTCACTTGCTTATTTAATTACAAGTTTTTTTTAAATTAAAAAAATACAATTTTTTGTAATTCAAATTTAAATAATTGTACTCTAAAAAGATGTTAAACTTCAAAGACACTTCAAAATAAAACATTTAACATACAACTCAAATGTAATCCAAAAACAAACACAATAAGCGAATAAATAAGTTTATAATATTTTATAATTTTTGTATCACTTATTCACTTATTTAAAATATAACTTAAATGTAATCTAAAAGCAAACACAATAAGCGAATAAATAAGTTTATAATATTTGATAATTTTTGTGTCACTTATCCATTTATAAGATTAGAGTCTTAAATAGATAAATGTATAATAGTTTGCTCTCTTCAAAATATTTTTCTTTATTTTCATTTACAACACAATAAAAAAATATTAACTAATAATATTAAAACATAAAATAATAAATAATTAAATTAAACTAGATGGCTTGGTGAGCCAACCTGACTCACCAAGGGTTTAACCCGAGTGAGCCGGGTTGAAAATTGGTCCGTTATTTTTTTCAAACTCAATCCGGCTTGGGCTGTTTCATCCTCCACCTCCAAGGATTTCATCCTGAACTTCCAAAATTTTCTTAAATACTCATAATATCCTCCATTAAAATATGGGTTATATATATTTTTCGTCCCTTAAGTATCACACGATTTTGGTTTTAGTTCCTACTCGAAACTTTGATGGTTTTTAGTCCTCATAGTTTTGAAACTCTTACTATTAGTCCTTAAAATTGGACGTCGTTAACTTTTAGTAGATGTGACAAACGGCGAGGCCACGTTTTATGCCAGTTGCGCTCTTCACTCTCTACCATGTTGGTTTTCTTTTTATTCATGAGATTAAGTGGCACGTGTTGTTGATTGAAATCAAATTAATAATTAAGGTTCTTAATTGGGCAAAGTTTAATTTTTTCAATTGGGGAAAAGTACTTTTACTCGAAGCATTCTAGCAAAGTGGTCCTTATGGGGCTCCTTGTGGTGCTCCTTGCGGTGGTCGTGAAGGAAACGGTGGGTGTGAAAGACAAGCGTAAAGGTAAGCTAAGCTATTGTTTTTTTTTTTTGGTTATGGTTGTTCCAATTTGGACGTAAAGTGTTCATGTCTGAATGTAGGTCTAGAAATGGTTTTCGACATTTTTTTGCATCACATGGGAAAGTTTGTTAGTAATAAGGGGCAACAGTATGTGTTGGAGGAGAGATACACGTGATCAAAGGACTTGATCCGGATCGTTGGTCGTATTTTGAAGCAGTTCGAATAGTTAAATAATTTAAGTATGATGCAGACTTCAAACTATGGTGGAAGGGGTCGAAACAAAGGCTAATGAATAATGTGAGATTATTGAGTGATGACAGGGAAGCATTGTACTTGGCTAACTATGCAAAGGAGAATAAGGAAGAAGTAGAAATGTATGTTCAACATGTTCCTAGTGAGGAAGTGGAAGTTCACTTTCTTAGTTGTGGTGAAGTGGCAGATGAAGGAAACATAGACGTGGAGTAAGTGGTTTCCAAAGTGGGTGACGAAGAGGTTAATTTACATGAGGAAGAAGTGGCTGAGATTGTAGAAGAGGATGGAATGGGTCTGGAAGAGGGTGATGGTGCTGTAGAAGAGGGTGAATGTGTTGAGAAACAGGGTTCACATGTTAATGTGGTTGTAGAGGTTGAAATGGGTGAGAAAGAGTGTGATGATGGTGAGGAACATGAAGAGGTTGAAATGGGTGAGGAAAGGGAAGAGTGTGATGGTGATAATGAACAGGAAGAGGTTGAAATGGGTGAGGAAGAAGAAGAGTGTGATGGTGGTGATGAACATGATTATTTTTTTGAAGAAGGGGAAGGGGGGAATGTGGTTGAGGGGTAAGTAGAAGCTTCAGCTGAAGAATGTCTAGATGACAGTGAAGAAGACATAATGGCTAATGATGATGATGGGTTTGGTGTTGAGAATGATAGGGTGGACCAAGTTCATAGAAACATTAATCCAATTTTGGATAGGTGGAATACAATGAAAAAAAGAAAAAATGTGTGACTAGAAGAGGCAATGTTGGGGAAGGTTCATTTGTAATGAATGAAGAAGTTGGAGATCATGACATCAATGAAGAATACCATAGTGATGAATTGGATTCAAATGTAGATAGTGATGACGATGTGAGGTTGAAAAAGGGCAACTTTAAAAGGTATAGACAAGATGATATGAACAAGAACTTCATATTCGAATTGGGGATGGAGTTCTGTTCATTAAAGGAATTTAAAAATGCACTAATGGAGCATAGTGTATTAAATGGAAAAGAGCTTAAGTTTGTGAAGAATGACCTGAACAGAGTAAGGGTAGTTTGTAAAAACAAATGTGATTTTCTTATTATGGCTAGCAAGGTAGGAGGCAAGCAAATATTTAGGGTGAAAACCTTGGTTGGACGATAAAATTGTGGAAGGGTTTTTGGAAACAAAAATGCAAATGTAAACTGGATTGCACAAGTATTAGTAGACATGTTTGTAAATGTGGCTAACATGACAGTCAACCAAATCATTGATGACATTAAGAAGTCATTCAGTGTTGGAATAACTGCTTGGAAAGTTGGAAAGGCCAAGCAAATTACTTTGAATTCTTTGGTTGGTGATGGAGAACGACAATATGGTCGTCTATATGATTATGTGGGTGAATTTCTAAGAGTGAAGTTTGGAACCTTTAAAATTAAAGTGAATCAACCCCAACCAAGTTTACCACCAAGATTTGGGTCATTTTATACGTGTTTAGAGGGCTGTAAGTAAGGCTTCTTAGGAAGTTGCAGGCCCTTCATAGGGGTATATGGTTGTCATCTGAAGACAACATATGGTGGTCAGTTGTTGGTGGCAGTGGGCAGAGACCCTAATAACCAATATTTCGCACTAGCTTTTACTGTGGTTGAAAATGAATGCAAAGAAAGCTGGAGATGGTTTTTGACACTACTTCTGGATGATATTGGTGGCATTGATTGTCAACATTGGGTTTTCATTTCTAATCAACAAAAGGTATTTTCATTTTAATGTTTTCCTATTTTTATTTCGTAGTAGTGACATTATTTACTATTGACCAAGACCTTTTGTGCTTTGCAGGGACTAATGACATTTTTTTATGACATCTTGGAT